AGCGGACACAGCGGCGAGGGAGGAGGACTGATCTCCGGTCACGGCGAGGCCTGGGCCCCTCCCTGGGCCACCGCCCCTTCCTGTCGGCTCCCTCCTGGTCCTGCCCAGACGCCAAGGAGCACCCCAGCCACAGCGGGGATGCGACAGCCAAGGCTCCAAGTGTGCGTTTGGGGGACGGGAGGGGGAAGGGGCGCGTAGCTCCATCGTTTTTTTAGGACCTGCCGTATCTGAACTTGAACGTTTCTGTGGCGGAACACCCACTATAAATAGATATAAAGAGAGCGCACAGCCGTACCGGTGGTTTCTGTAGGTCCTCACCCTGTAAATGCCCCTCAGAGCTGTGCCGGCCGTGCCCCTGGCAGCGGGCGGGGCCCCATGGAGGCCAGGACGCCAGCTGCGGCCCCGCCTCACTGTCCGGCTCTAGCGTGGGCGTCACTGCTCTGTGTTGGAATCCACGTTGCGTGCCCCTGGCATCTGTAAACCTGGACTTGATTGGACAAATGTTGCTTTAGGTCTTTTTCAATGAAATTTCTTTTCTCTTAAGGAAAAACAAAAAATGATTCCACAGCTCCCAGGGACTGTCAGGGGCTGTTACGGACTGAGGGTGAGTGTCCTGACGGCTGGCTGTGCCCGGGCCCCGGACACAGGCTGGCGGCCTGTCCGTCCCTCCGGACCCAGGTGAGGCCTCGGAGCTTGGGGTCATTGTCAGGATGGGTGGGGACGGCCCTGCCTGCTCAGCGACACGGAGGACCCGGGGTCTGAAGCAGCGGCCGGGTGGTCAGTGTGAACCAGGGACAGTGACGAACAAGAATGAAAAGGAACCCCAGGGAGAGATGCCGGGCGCCCCTGGATGGCGGGTGTGTCCTGTGGCGCCTCCCTGGCTTTGGAGGGACAGGCCAGCCCCACCCCAAGGAGGCCCCCTGGTCACCTGGCCACGGGTCACCTCTCGCTCCCCTTGCCCACTTTCCCACACGCTGCCTGGTCTCAGGCCGGCCGTGCCCGCAGCCCCCTGTCCCCCCATGTGGTGGCACGTGCCTCCTGAGGGCACACTGCGAGGCCCCTCTAGGACGTCGCCGGGTAGAAGTGGCCCCGGAAGACCCCGCCAGTCGACACTGCCACTTGCTACTCTTTCCTGCTCATTTCCTTTTTTTTTTTAAAGATCGAAGTTGATCTTTTTTTTTTTTTTAATTGATTTCAGAGAGGAAGGGAGAGGGAGAGGGAGATGAGAGAGAATCATGGATCGGCTGCCTCCTGCACGCCCCCTAGTGGGGATCGAGCCTGCACCCCAGGCCTGTGCCCTGACTTTGAATTGAACCGGTACCTCCTGGTTCACAGGTCGACGCTCAACCCCCGAGCCAGGCCGGCCGGGCCTGATGGTTTCTTTTAGGAGAGGGAGCTCGGTGGGTCTCTCTTCCTCCACGTGCGCTTGCCCTTGACAGTGGATGGGGCGCAGCAACATGGCCGGGGGCTTTCCCACCCCGGCTTCTCCCTTTCGCCCCCTGCCAGGCAGTGCCAGGGGCGGACTCGCACACTTTCGTCTCCAGAGGCTCCTGGGAGAGTCAGGTACCTGTGTCGGGCTGTTGAGCCCCGATGGGGCCGGCCCGGACACTGCCCCCGCGCTGGGCCCCACACCTGGGCCCCCTCGTCTGACCCGTCACCTGTGAGCTGTTACTACTGTTAGAGAACCATGGCCCCGACGGAAAACAGATCTGGCTCAGACGGAAAACAAATTCTCATCAGGTTCCTGTTCCTCCGCCCACACGACGCCACCCAGCCCAGGAACCTCGGCACCCTTTGATCTATGGGCCCTGGGGCACCCTGTCCCCGAGCGGGCAGCCCCGTGGCCTTGGCCCGTGGGCACTGCAAGCGGAGGCAGCTGCCCCCCCCCCAGGCGAGCTATGTTTACACGACACGGTGTGCCAAAGCGATGTCCTGCGGTGGCGTATTTTGTAGTCTTGGGGCCCGTCTCACCCCCACCCCATTTTTACAAACGAAGATTCTTCCCCCAGCGCCCCTCGAACCAAGCGAGGGGACGCCCCCCGTCCCCCCCCCCCGT